AAAGCTGGGTAAGGCCAACCAGCTTTTACCCCATAGGATTTAGCATGTGAAGTACCAGCCAGTTTGTGTGCAAGTTGATATAGATCAAGTAAGTCTAGGTTATATGCACCCAAAAGAATTCTAAATTATTGTATGAATATTTGCTGGTCTTATAAAGGTTCAGAGAAATCTTCACAGCTCTTAATCTAGCTTAAGTTCAAAGTTTAAATTCTACAGTTCCCTGCATACCTAGCAAGAGGAAAGGATGAATTTTCACAGGCAACTGGCACTAGGGGTTTTAGGAGAACTGGGAAACGGTAAGGTCTGGAGAAGGGGAGCAGGAGGGAAGGGCTGACAGAGAAGTGGAAGGAAAGAAGTCTGAAGGATCTTAAGGAAGAGGAGAGCGGGAAACAGGGAAGCAACAGCAGGACAAAGACAAAGATTTACTAGGGAAGTTAGTCCAGCTTGTTGCTTAAATTTGTCAAATTGCTCATTGCTTTGGCCAAATAATCTCTTAACAAAGCAACTTTTTATTCAGAATTTTCTTTGGAGGCCTCTGCACACCAATCAAAAAAATGTACCCATTTAAGCTGAGAAATCTTCCTTTCTTTTTCAAGGACATTTCAAACAAATTTGTTGTTATAGTGAAATGTTCCCCAGACTGCCCACTGAAGGCCTCAGTCATTTTTGAGAAAATTATGTCATTTGGAAAGACAGGTGTAAAGTTAAGACTAACGAGAGTAAATATAGGAATCAAGAGTTTTCCTGGAAAAGAATAAGATTCAGATTTGGTTGAATCCATGAGAGTTGGCAACGGCTAATAGAAATGAAATGCTTGTACCTCCGTATGTCAGGCCCTGACCTGAGGGTCGGCCACCTCCAAACACAGACCCAACAGTCCGTGCCCCTCAGCAGGCAGACTACCAGAGAACACTCTCTCCAAATCAAAATAATCTCTCAGGACAAAAACTTGGGACATAAAGGGAACCTCATCAGTTTTGCTGATGACCTACAGCAATGTTTATCCCAATGCACACCAGTCTGATAAGAACCACCGACTCACTGGTCTGTGAGGCTGCCGTGAAAAACAGGCTTATAAGCTGTGCTCTTCCCTGTCTCCTTCTTGCAACAAGTAACACTCTCAGACAGCACACCATAAAAGAGTAACACAAATGCAGCAAAAAGGGATGAAGAGAATTACTTGATTCCATCAAGGATGTGAAGCAAATGAGAAATGAGTACAAAATCTGGGTATCAAACTGAGAATGAATAACCAAGGAACTCAGCACAAAGGCAATGGTGTTCAGACCTGGTGCTGATTCACCACGTGGCTGAGGTCTTGACAAGAGGTGAGCAGAAAGGCACAAGGGGCGCCACACCTAGTTGAAGACTGGAGTCCATGACGATGGTCAGGGCAAACTGTGTCTTACTGGAACGTCCAAGAAATCTGTGGAAACAAGTGAAAAATGCTCAAATGAAAACAAGAAACTGTTATTTACTTAAAATTTATTATTTGAATTTGGCGGAAACTCAAATGTATACAGAATAGTGGAAAAGCTCTAGAATGAAATAAAGGTGAAGGCTTCAGGTTTGCCCAGATTGGAAGCTGTTGGCCTACAGATGCTGGAAGCAGGTTAACTAAAACTGGGCCACCCTAGAGGATGGGTTAGGAGTATATATTTGGCTTTCTGTGGTTGGTCCTAAGTTAGAAGAGGGGGCAAAAATGAGCAAAGCTGGAAATTCTTGACCAGGTCCTATTTGGGGGCTAATGTTGAAGTTGTGGTTGGATTCTTAGGCTGGTTGCTATAGAGGTTGTGTGTCAGAGTTCTGATTTAAATGTGGTCTGGCCATTGCCTGTTTGCATGTGACGCACTACTCACTGAGTGTTTTGAAGATAAGATGTCGATGGAATTGGTGATGAAGTCCATAGCATTGACTACTTCTCCAATAAGGGCAGAGATGACCTGAGCATTTCACCAGACTTCCTTAGTGACCCACAGCAGCTTGCCAAGGGAGAAACTGGGCCACGCACGGTCGGCTGCAGTAATGAGTCCTTCTAGGTCTATGACAAGTTCAGGCTTGAGCTTGCAGTGACTCCTCAGATCCTGGGGACAAAGACCAGCTACAAGGCAACCTTAGAATCCTGATAAAGATCTGGCAGTCAGGTTTTATTTCTCAGGGACTCCAAGTCAAGGATGAGGGAGAAAAATTGGAAAGCTTAGTTCAGAGGCTAAGAGTAGTTTGTGGCCAGATACTGAAGGAAAGTGGAAGAATGAAAACTTGGTAAGGGCTGACAATCTGTGCAAAGTAACAGATCCAAATCCAGATCCAGATCCAGACAAGACAGAGTTTGCATAACAATGAGTTACCTGCAATTTACAAAAAGGTGCAAAATAGCTCAAAGACAATGAATAGCTTCACAATCTGGTAACTCAGAAGGCTGTGCAGTTTCTCAATGAAACACGGAATTTCTCCTTACAGTCCCTCTTTCCCTTTTGATCAAAAACTATCTCAAAGCAAGATTATTCTTCATCACAACATAAGGCCACTCTCATTAGATGTGGCCTGGTTATTTACATAGATGCAGCAAGAATGACAATTTACCACACAGGTCTTA